TTAAAGCATTGCAATTTTATTTTTTTTTTGATAACCTGATCATTACTCTCAATGTTATACTATTGTTTATTCTGGTCTCTCATTTATTTCTGACTTTCTTTGTTATTTTCTTTCTCTCTAGATTTCAGCTAAGTTTCTTCTTTTTCTAGTTCCTTGTGGTGTAATGTTATCTATTTGAACTTTTTTCTTAATACAAGCATTTATAGCATAAATCTCACTCCAAAATCTGTTTTTGCTGGATCTCATAGGTTTTAGAATATTGTGTTTTCTTTTTCTTTTGTTTTGAGACATGTTTTGATTTGTTGTTTGATTTCTTATTTGCCCCATTGCTTGTGCAGTAGTGTGTTGTTTAGTTTTTATGCATTAAATGCTTAATATTTACAATACAGATTTTCCAGCTCTGTGTTATTAATTTCTAGTTTTGTACCATTGTAGTTAGGAAAGATATTTGGTATGATTTAAGTCTTCATAAATTTGTAATATTTGTTATGTCTCTTTTTATGTGATTTTTATTATTTAACCTGTGTGAACTTAAAGAAAATGTGTGTTTCATTTTTCTTGAATGGAATGTCATATATATATATATATATATATATATATATATATATATATATATATCTTTAGAACCATGTATTCTGAAGTATGCTTCCAGTAAGACTGTTCTTCTTGAAAAAAATAATAATAAATTTAACTGAGGGTATGTGTTTAAAAATAAAGCATACCAGAAAGGAACTGGGGAAGGATAGGTGAAATAGGTGATGGGAATTAAAGAGTACACTTATCATGATGAGCACTGAGTAATATACAGAATTGTTGAATACAATATACTATATTGTATACCTGAAACTAACGCTGTATGTTAACTACACTGGAATTAAAGTAAAAAGGTTAAAAAAAGAAAATACTAGACACCAAAAATTAAATACAAAATTAAAGTCCATGAATCTATACCCATCCTTAAAAAGAGAGAAAAAGAAAAAGAAAGGATGCCAACCAATGCTTGTGGAAGGAATGATAGAAATAAAAAATCATCATTTTAAAACCATCATAGGAATAATAGATTCAGGCAAGCATCATCAGGGTGTGCTAAAATCATTCAGTAAAAAAATTGGGGCATAAAAGAATATTTATACAATCTGAAAGTATTGTTCCACAGAATATGTATGAATTACAAATAAAAATGTAGCTTTACAATGAATCTGGCAGTTAGCACTTTGACTAAATGATCAAAATTAATATTTGCAATAATGGGACCATCTGACAGCAGGTGCCTTTTGATATGACACACTGAGAAGGATACAAATCACTTCTATGGTATTCCTGCCAATACTGCATGTCCTGAGTCTAATCTTGAGGAAACATCAAGCAAACCCAAACTGAAGAATATCTATATTTACCTGACTTGGACTCCAAAAATGTCAATGTCATAAAAGACTAAAAAAGGCTGAAGAGCTGCTCTTGAGTAAAGGAGACAAAAGAGACAGATAATTAACTATAATGTGTGTAATCCTTGATTGTCTCTTGGATGATTAAAAAAAATTCTGTAAAAGACATTATCGAGAAAATAATAATAATAATATTGAATAAGGACTCATATTAGGTGATAATTATAAGTATTTTAGATGATAGCATTGTATCAATTTTAAATTTCCCAAGTGTCATAATTCTACTTTAGCAAGACCAGAGAATGCTCTTGTTTTTATGAAATATAGGCTGAAGCATTTAGGAATAAAATATCACAATGTCTACAACTATCTCTGAAATGGTTCAACATGATCTCATCCATTAAATATTTTAGTGTGTATCTCAAAAATATAAGAGCATCTGAAAAAATAATAACATGACATGGAATTCTTAAAGCTTCTCTGGTGATTCTATTGTCCAACTATAGATCAATACTACAGAGATATAAGCAGAACTAATCTTAGAAGTCAAATCTGATCATTTGGTCATGGTGGCTTAGAGCACTGTGTTAAAAAAGACTGATATAGGTTTAGGCTCAACCAGAGAGAATGCTATGATTGATTGGCTAGGTCTGTCTTGGTGCTTAGAAGATTCCTATATATTATCTGGGTCATGTTGTAAGCATGAAACAGGGTTGACACAAAAGAGCAAGCTACATGCTAGAAGATAAAAAGGAGATTCTAGCATCACCAGTGAAGTCTGAACTTATCTTAGATAACTGACCTCCTCTGTCTTGAAGAAATCAGGACCAGACTTATTTTCTTAGTTACTATGACTAACATTATAATGAAACAAAGGTCAGGTGGGGGGAGGGGTACATCTATATGTGTATTAAGCTTTGAAGAGCTCTTTGATCATGACACAGTCCATGCAGGTAGGTAGGAAAGAACTACATGGAAGAGCTCTTTAGAGTAACAGCCATTTTTTTAAAAAAGTATGAGCATATGGGGAATATCAGTAGAAATGAATATTGTAAGAAAGGGTCAAATGGAAATGCTAGAAATAAAAAACACAATACCAGAAATGAAGAATTATTTAGATATAGATTTGTTACAGCTGAGGGAAAAAAACTCAGTAAAATTTGAAGATAGATCAAGAAATTATCCAAACTGAAACACGAAAAGGAGTGAATAAAAAACTGTGCATCAAAAAAACCATTGGATAAGATCAAATGGCTCATTATATGAATAATTGGAGTCATAGGAAGAAAGGAAGGAAGGAAGGAGGAGAGGGGAGGGAGGGGGAGGGGAAGGTGGAGGGAGAGACAGATAATATGGGAGAAGAAATATTTGAAGAGATAATGACCAAAAATTTTTCCAAAATTATGAAAGAGATCAAGCTGTAGACCCAGAAGTTCACAGAATCCCAGGCAGGATACATTAAACACACACACACACACACACACACACACACACACACCTAGTCTAACTCCTGAAAACCAAAAATAAAGAGAAAATCTTGAAGATACCCCAGGGGCAGGGAACTACATACAAAGAAAGAAAGAAAAAAAAAAGAATTACAGCCATCAGAAACTATGCAATGCAGAAGACAAGAAAGTGGCATCTTGAAAGTATCAAAGAATAAAACTGTCAATACTAGAATTCTCTACCCAGGGAAAATACCATTCAAAAATGAAGGTTAAATAGATTTTTTCAGAAAAACTAATGCTGAAATAATTCATTCCCAGGATATCTACAATTCAAGAAATGTTAGAGGAAGCTTGTCAGGCAGAAGGGCTGTGATATTAGACAAAAACTTGAATCTACACAAATAATCTTGCCACGTGAGTAAATGCTAAATTATGAATTATAATTTATTAGTTAATGGAAGTTAGTTTTCCACAACTGCTGTGTATGATAGTTAGAAGACCTCAATGAAGACATCATAATCTGAAATAAAAAGAAAAGAAAGGTAAGATAAGCTAATCGATGTGTTTTACCCTACCCAAGGTCCCTTTAAAGGAAAATTGCCAAGGCACTATTAGTGAGTACTTAAGTACAATGACCATGAATGATTTTGAAGGAGAAGGAAATTACATGCCATTAGGCAACAGAAGACATGATTTTAAACAAAATCCATGCAACAGGGAGGGAAAATAATTTACAGAACTGAGGGAAAAATTTGTGGCAGGACCTACAAAACAGTGATAGAGAAGAGTTTAATCACCCTAACAGCAAATTATCCATGAGTTTTAGGTTTGGGGAAGCCAGTTGCCCAGGTCACAATTTTACTCTCCATGAGGTCACAATTTTACTCTCCACGAGGCTATTACATGAAGATTCTTATTGTTCAGTAAACTCGGTAGGACTTCCTTCAGATCTTCATACTTTTTCCTCTTTTGTCGACAACTGGACTGTGCAGCTCAGTCTTGAGGTAGGAATCCTAATTTATTTGAAACACAATATGGCTTAGTATATTAGTTTCCTAGGGCTACTGTGACAAATTACCACAAACTGATTGGCTAAAAACAACAGAAATTTATTCTCTCACAGTTCTGGAGGACAGAAGTTCGAAATCAAGGTATTGGCAGGACCAGTTCCTTCTGAAGGCTCTGGGAGAGAATCCATTCCCACCCTTGCTGTCACCCAGTGGCTGACAGCAATCTTCAGCATTCCTTGGATTACAGAGGCATCACTCCCATCTCTGCATCCATTTTCACATCCCCTTCCCTTCCCTTCTATGTGTCTTTCCCCTTCGTTTCTCCTCTAAAGACACTTGTCATTAGATCTAAGGCCCACCCTAGTGCAGTATGATCTCATCTCAAGATCCTTAATCACATCTGAAAAGTCCTTTCTCTAAATAAGGTCACTTTCACAGATTCAAGGCCTCTACTGAGTAGATATATTGGGGGGGGGCGGTATGGAGGAGGAAGCATCATTCAATCCATGACACCTAACTGGGAATTGAAAAACAGGTTATAGGAATCCCTGGGTGGCGCAGCGGTTTAGCGCCTGCCTTTGGCCCAGGGCGCGATCCTGGAGACCCGGGATCGAGTCCCACGTCGGGCTCCCGGTGCATGGAGCCTGCTTCTCCCTCTGCCTATGTGTGTGTGTGTGTGTGTGTGTGTGTGTGTGTGTGTGTGACTATCATAAATAAATAAAAATTAAAAAAAGAAAAGAAAAACAGGTTATAGTCCCTGCTCCATAATTAACTTACTTGCTGTGTGTGATCTTCCACATGTTGGTTAACTTCCCTGAATCTTAATTCACTCATCTGAAAATGAGAATAATATCCACCCTGCTTTTTTCCCTGTGAAGTAGTGTGTATTGAGTACATTTTAAATAAATGCTAAATGAATAAATTTTAAAAATGAGTGACTGAATAAGTAAATTCATCTGGAAGTGTTCAGTTTGCCATTATCAGATGAGATCTGGCACTCAGGAGAGAGGCGAGGGCTGAATATTCAGACAGGGGGGTCTTCAGTATCAACAGGAACAAGTGAGACCACCTAGAGAGAAAAACAGAAGAAAAGTGAAGATACAGGTCAACCCGGTAGCCGAGTGGTGGAGCCACAGTGAAGGCGCCTTACAGGCAACATGTCCCATCTACCCATGAAACTCCTGCACAAGAAGATAGAGAAACAGAATCTCAAGTTGCACCTGCGACACCTGAAGCTCCAGGGGGCCTCAGATGTGAGCTTATCAGAAACACAAAATGGAGATGTGTCTGAAGAAACAGTGGGAGGTGGGAAGGTTAAAAAATCTCTAAAACAGTCTCTGAACATGGGCTCGTCAGAAGCCCAGAATGGAGAGGTAGCTAAAGAAACAGTGGAAACTGTACAAATAAGAAAGAAAGAAAGAAAGAAAGAAAGAAAGAAAGAAAGAAAGAAAGAAAGAAAGAGGAAGAAAGGGAAGGAAGGAAGGAAGGAAGGAAGGAAGGAAGGAAGGAAGGAAGGAAGGAATCTACCATAATAATCAATGGAGAAGCAGCAACACAGCCTCCCGATTCAGAATCAGAAAAAAAAGAAGAAGAAAAAAAGAAAAATGGTGGATGACACTGGGCCTGATAAAAAAATCAAAAACTGAAGACAAAGGGGACTCTGAAGAAGGGACCCAGGCTCCTGAAGAGACAGAAAACAATGAGGAGAAGCCAGATGATGAGGAAGAGGACAGTGAAGTGCCCAGCCTACCCCTGGGACTGACAGGAGCTTTTGAGGATACTTCATTTGCTTCTCTTTCTGATCTTGTCAATGAGAACACTCTGAAGGCAATAAAAGAATTGGCTTTTACAAACATGACTGAAATTCAGCATAAAAGTATCAGACCACTTCTGGAAGACAGGGATCTCCTTGCGGCCGCAAAAACAGGCAGTGGCAAAACGCTGGCATTTCTCATTCCTGCAGTCGAACTCATTGTCAAGTTAAAGTTCATGCCTAGGAATAGAACAGGAGTTCTTATTCTCTTACCTACTAGGGAACTGGCCATGCAGACTTTGGGTGTTCTTAAAGAGTTAATGACACACCATGTTCACACATACGGGTTAATGGGTGGCAGCAACAGATCTGCTGAAGCACAGAAACTTGATAATGGGATCAACATCATCGTGGCCACACCAGGCTGTCTCCTGGGCCACATGCAGAATACCCCAGGTTTTATGTATAAAAATCTACAATGTCTGGTTATTGATGAGGCTCATCTTATCTTGGATGTTGGGTTTGAAGAGGAATTAAAACAAATTATTAAACTTCTGCCAACACGCAGGCAAAGCATGCTCTTTTCTGCCACACAAATTCGAAAAGTTGAAGACTTGGCAAGGATTTCTTTGAAAAAGGAGCCATTGTATGTTGGTGTTGATGACGATAAAGCTAATGCAACAGTGGATGGTCTTGAGCAGGGATATGTTGTTTGTCCCTCAGAAAAGAGGTTCCTTCTGTTCTTTACATTCCTTAAGAAGAACCGGAAGAAGAAACTGATGGTCTTCTTTTCATCCTGTAAGTCCATGAAATACCACTATGAGTTGCTGAACTACATCAATTTGCCTGTCTTGGCCATTCATGGAAGGCAGAGAAAAAATAAGTGTACAACCACATTCTTCCAGTTCTACAATGCTGATTCGGGGATATTGTTGTGTACAGACACGGCAGCTAGAGGGCTAGATATTCCTGAAGTCGACTGGATTGTTCAGTATGACCCTCCAGATGACCCCAAGGAATATATTCGTGTGGGAAGAACAGCCAGAGGCCTAAACGGAAGAGGTCACGCCTTGCTCATCTTACGCCCTGAAGAGTTGGGTTTCCTTCGTTACTTGAAGCAATCCAAGGTTCCATTAAGTGAATTTGAGTTTTCCTGGTCCAAGATTTCTGACATTCAGTCTCAGCTTGAAAAATTGATTGAAAAGAACTACTTCCTTCATAAGTCAGCGCAGGAGGCATATAAGTCCTACATTCGAGCATATGATTACCATTCTCTGAAACAGATCTTCAATTTAATAACTTAAATTTGCCTCAAGTTGCTCTGTCATTTGGTTTCAAGGTGCCTCCTCTTGTTGATCTGAACGTGAACAGCAATGATGGCAAGCTTAAAAAGAAGAGGAGGTGGCGGCAGCTTTGCATACCAGAAAGCCAAGAAAGTTGAGAAGTACAAAATCTTCAAACACATTAGCAGGAAGTCCTCCGACAGCCGGCAGTTCTCCCACTAAAGACACACCTTCCAAATAAATAAATAAATAAATAAATAAATAAATAAATAAATAAAAAGACACACCTTCCTTACATATTGAATAGCTTTGTCTCGATATGGATTTTTTTTTCCCCTTTTTCTAACCAAGGAATTGTTGTGGCTTCAGGATTGGGACTGGTGGAACAGCAGTACGAATTGATGTAGCAGCACTGGACATGGATACTCCCATGAAACTTTCATGTTTTACAAGAGTTCAGTTTCTCTAGGTTGCTCAAGGGCAAAGCAAGAGGCCTTTTGGCTTTTGTTGTGATGAGAGAGTATTTTTAATCTTTTACCTCCAAAAAAAAAAAAAAAAGTGAAGATACAGCCCAAAGAACTTTCACATTTAACAATCAAACAAGAAGGTACAGCCAAAACTAATGTAACATGGTGTGTCAACTATACTTCAATTAAAAAAAAAAAAGAACTAGACAAGAAGAAGAGATTTCAGGAGAAGGTAAGATATAAGAGCAAACAAACTAAAAAGTAAATAATTAACCCATTTAAGCACAGAGTAGAGTGACAGGAAGGGGAGTTGTGGCTTGTAATGAGATGTTGAAAGAGGAGAAGTCTGTCTAATGAGCAGAAAAAAAACTAGAAGCAATAACCATTTCACTAGGATTACACACCAAATCAAAGAGATTCTGGTTAGAACTAGTGAGGACAAACACCTTTTTTCCAAATTGTATTTCGTCTTGATTGTGTAGTTAGCAAGCACAACTAGGATGCAAAAAGTAAAAAAGGAGGAGTCCTGGTCCCTCATGTCTAATACCAACTACCCATCGTCCTCAGTTTCCCCTGTCCTTTGTCCACCAAAAGAAGGGCCAATCTCAGCTTTCGCCATCCCCGCTGACCTCTTACCATTTCCCTTTCTGAATACCTGAATATCCTGTACACCTGTACCCAAATGCCACCGTGCTGGCTATTCCACAGGATAGCAGGCACCCTTCATTTCAAGAAATGTGACTGACTCATGGTAGACAACACAGTGGAGATAAACCTTCTCATAAGCCACTAAATGAGCCAATTACAAAACTCCTACTTGTACAAAGTATTGTCACAAAAAAGTCAGCAGGCTTCATAACTTACACATCTTTGTCGACTATAGTCCCTATGTACCAAGTACCTCAAAGCCTACAAAAGTAACACAAGATACCATGAGAGTTCGGGTAAGTCACCTAAAGGCAAGATGTCAGCCAGACTTGAACCCAGGTCTTCTGACGTCAGGTCCCATGCTTTTTTCCATGACTTCATTCTGGAAAGTTGAATTCTATTTGGGAAGGCAAAACTAACAGACACAAAACCAAAAACCAAGCTGTGTAGGTGGGTTTATAGGCTCACAAGAGATAGATCCTCGGGGGCTAGAGGATTTTTTTAAAGATTTTATTTATTTATTCATGAGAGATACAGAGAGAGAGGCAGAAATGCAGGCAGAGGGAGAAGCAGGCTCCTTGTGGGCAGCCCAATGCAGGACTCGATCCCAGGACCCTGAGATCACGACCTGAAGGGAAAGTAGATGCTCAACCACTGAGCACCCAAGGGTCCCTCCCTGTTTTGTATATTTCTGTGGCAAAATACATAATGTAAATACATAATGTAAGGTAAACCATTTCTGAGTGTCTGGTTCAGGTATACTTTCCTTTTTAGTGCTAAAAATGTCATTCTTTGATGAAATAATAATCAAAAAAAAATCACAGACTGTAGTTGGTGGGCAGGGAATTGTTTTTACTTGAAAATGTAGCATTTTCGCAACGGGTTTGCCGCCAGAACACAGGTGTCATGAAAACCACCGCTAAACCTAAATCAAAATGGGAAAGGAAAAGACTCACATCAACATCGTCGTCATTGGACACGTAGATTCGGGCAAGTCTACCACTACTGGCCATCTGATCTACAAATGTGGTGGAATCGACAAAAGAACTATCGAAAAATTTGAGAAGGAGGCTGCTGAGATGGGAAAAGGCTCCTTCAAGTATGCCTGGGTCTTGGATAAACTGAAAGCTGAACGTGAACGTAGTATCACCATTGATAGCTCCCTGTGGAAATTCGAGACCAGCAAGTATTATGTGACCATCATTGATGCCCCAGGACACAGAGACTTTATCAAAAACATGATTACAGGCACATCTCAGGCTGACTGTGCTGTCCTGATTGTTGCTGCTGGTGTTGGTGAATTTGAAGCAGGTATCTCCAAGAATGGGCAGACCCGTGAGCATGCCCTTCTGGCTTACACACTGGGTATAAAACAACTAATTGTTGGTGTTAACAGAATGGATTCCACTGAACCACCCTACAGCCAGAAGAGATACGAGGAAATCGTTAAGGAAGTCAGCACCTACATTAAGAAAATTGGCTACAACCCCGAAACAGTAGCGTTTGTGCCAATTTCTGGTTGGAATGGTGACAACATGCTGGAGCAAAGTGCTAACATGCCTTGGTTCAAGGGATGGAAAGTCACCCGTAAAGATGGGAATGCCAGCGGAACCACACTGCTTGAAGCCCTGGATTGCATTCTGCCACCAACTCGTCCAACTGATAAGCCCTTGCATCTGCCTCTCCAAGACGTCTACAAAATTGGTGGTATTGGTACTATCCCAGTGGGTCGAGTGAGGACTGGTTCTTAAGCCTGGTATGGTGGTCACCTTTGCTCCAGTCAATGTTACAACTGAAGTAAATTCTGCTGAAATGCACCATGAAGCTTTGAGTGAGGCTCTTCCTGGGGACAATGTGGGCTTCAATGTCAAGAACGTATCTGTCAAAGATGTTTGTCGTGGCAACGTGGCTGGTGACAGCAAAAATGACCCACCAATGGAAGCAGCTGGCTTCACGGCTCAGGTGATTATCCTGAACCATCCAGGCCAAATCAGTGCTGGATATGCACCTGTGCTGGATTGTCACACAGCTCACATTGCTTGCAAGTTTGCTGAGCTGAAGGAAAAGATAGATCGTCATTCTGGAAAGAAGCTGGAAGATGGTCCCAAGTTCTTGAAATCTGGGGATACAGTCATTGTTGATATGGTTCCTGGCAACCCTATGTGTGTTGAGAGCTTCTCTGACTATCCTCCTCTGGGCCGTTTTGCTGTTCGTGACATGAGACAGACGGTTGCTGTGGGTGTCATCAAAGCAGTGGACAAGAAGGCAGCTGGAGCTGACAAAGTCACCAAGTCTGCCCAGAAAGCTCAGAAGGCTAAATGAATATTAGCCCCAATACCTGCCACCCCAGTCTTTTTTTTTAAAAGATTTTATTTATTTATTCATGATAGTCACACAGAGAGAGACAGAGAGGCAGAGACACAGGCAGAGGGAGAAGCAGGCTCCATGCAGGGAGCCTGACATGGGATTCAACCCCAGGTCTCCAGGATCGCGCCCCGGGCCAAAGGCAGGCGCCAAACCGCTGCGCCACCCAGGGATCCCCACCCCAGTCTTAATCAGTGGTGGAAGAACGGTCTCAGAACTGTTTGTGTCAATTGGCCATTTAAGTTTAATAGTAAAAGACTGGTTAATGATAACAATGCATCATAAAACCTTCAGAAGGAAAGGAGAATGTTTTGTGGACCATTTTTTTTTGTTTTGTTTTGTTTTTGTGTGTGTGTGGCAGTTTTAAGTTATTAGTTTTTAAAATCAGTACTTTTTAATGGAAACAACTTGACCAAAAATCTGTCACAGAATTTTGAGACCCATTAAAACAAAAGTTTAATGAGAAAAAAAAAGAAAATGTAAAAGTTGGTATTTTATTTGGGGTTCCTAACTTTGTTTTGAAATGCTACTGGGCTGAGAAATCCAGATATCTGGGAATTATTGCCTTAAAGGGGAGTTAAGATCTAGAGAGAAAGACTAAGGGTGTTTGAAAGAAGCCAGAACAAAGCCATTAAGAAGGGAATGTGCAGAGTATTTTTTTGTTTGTTTGTTTTTTGGAGAGTGTAGAGCAGATTTGCTAAAATAAAGTGTTTTTAGAAAGGAGTAGTTGGAATTAAGTTTTGGTCCATTTTAAAATATTTGGTGCCTGGTAATGGTCTGCTTATAGTGGAAACTCAATAAATATTTGTTGAGTGCAGTGAAAGTTCAAGTAGGTTCAGAAGACTCAGAAAATAAAGTTTGAACTTCATTTATTAACCAGAGCTTCTGAGCAGATGTTTCTAGAATGAGTAACCGATGTGCAAAGCTACTGATCTCCTCTACCTCTTCCTCCCCTACTACGCAGGACCCAGAGCATGTGATCAGCTCCAGTCCAAGTATATGAAAGCATGCTGTTCATATATAATTGGAGAAGATGGGAAGCAATGAGGAGCCACTGAAGATGACTGAGCAGTGGAGATATAAGATGATAGCAGTAGTTCCAGGAAAACTATTCGCCTGGTGGTAGAGTGCAAGGTGCAGCCCAAGCTTGAAGCTAGAATCATTGGGAAAAAGCATTCCAAGATATGTAATATTAACTCTACTCCAGCTCTGTGGGTGAGCCTTGATTGGCTTAAAGTAATCAACATTTCTGTTCCCTAGACCACAAAGATCAGTCTGGAGATGGGCACATAACCCAATCAGAGATTTTATTTTTTCTTTAAATAAGAACTCCTAAAAAATGTTTCTTTTTTTTTTTTAAGATTGTATTTATTCATTCATGAGAGACACAGAGAGAGAGAGAGAGAGGCTGAGACAAAGGCAGAGGGAGAAGCAAGCTCCATGCAGGAAGCCCGATGCAGGACTCAATCCCAGGACCCCAGGATCACTACCTGAGCTAAAGGCAGACCCTCAACCACTGAGTCCCCCAGGTGCCACTTAAAAAAAGATTCTTATATTTCTGTCTGAAGTTGACATGGGAAGCATGTAACCCTAAAGGTTTAGTTGACAGTCATCTTTGGATGATGATGGGAGAGCCTCCATGAGACCTGAGGAGGTGGAGCCAAGAAGTGGTAGAAGGGAAAAGGGGTCCAGGTCCTAGCACTTAAGACACCAATGAAGGCTCATCCAAAGCTTGTCCTACCCCCAGACT